TCAGACTTTCTCTATGTTTTAGCGTGGTTAGAGTGTTCCGAGCAGTCTTTATCTCGAGGCGTGCAGGACAGCGACCTCGAGAGGGTTCTTTATCTTAGGGCATGCAGGAACGCAACCTTGAGTGGTTTCTCAGGACCTTTTCTATATTTCAACGTGGTTAGAGTTGTTCTCGAGCGGGTCTTGATCTCGAGACGTGTAAGAACGCGGACTCGAGAGGGTTCTTTATCTCAGGGTATACAGGAATGTGACTGTGAGCGTTTCTCAGGACCTCTTCTTAGATTCACATAGTTAGAATGTTCTTCCTCCTTTCACAATTTCAGTGTGGTTGGAGTCACTTCATCTTCTCACAATTTCAGCTTGGTAAGAGTATCTCAGGGCATGCAGGAATGCGAACCCTAAGCATTTTTTTTCAAGACCTCTTCTCACGATTTCAGTGTGGTTAGAGTATCTTAGGGCATGCAGGAACGCGACCCTGAACGGTTTTCTCAGGACCTCTTCTCACGATTTCAGCATGGTTGGAGTCTCTTCCTCTTCTCACAATTTTAGGGTGGTTAGAGTACCTCAAGGCATACAGGAATGCGACCCTGAGCGGTTTTCTCAGGACCTTTTCTCATGATTTTAGCATGGTTAGAGTGTTCCCCAAACGGTCTTTATCTCGAGGCATGCAGGAACGCAACCTCGAGAGGGTTTTTTTTTTAAACTTAGGGCATGGAGGAACACGACCCTGAGTGGTTCAGGACCTCTTCTCACGATTTCAGCGTGCTTCGAGTGTTCTTCTTCCTCTCATAATTCCAGTGTGGTTGGAGTTTCTTCATCTTCTTAGGATTCCACTGTGGTTGAAGTATGTTACCCTATCCATTTTATCCATTGCATCATACTTTATCTTGTTGCATTCATCATTTTCGTGTAATATCCTATTGCATTGTTGTTTCCCAGTAGATTATTACCCAACAGATCATTCTTTACCTATATTATACCACCCAATCACTTGTACTCTTTATGCGAAAGGCATAGTTTTGCATGTGCTTGCACCCCTTTCACATTAAAACATGGTTATGTTATGTGTAAGCACCCATGCTGCTCTGAGACCAGTATTGAGGGTGTAGGCACTGAGCCTGTGTCAGCCGTTGTTTGGCTCATGCCCACTTCTTTTCTATATAAAACATAGTTTGATTTTGCATCCTCATTCCTTTATAATAGTTGTGTGGTAAGCACTGCTCGCGGTTTTGATTGGTGCATTGCATTATGTATCATTTACATCCAACCCCTGAACTACGCTGGTTTGATTCCTTACAAAGGGATACGTAGGCAACCCTCGGGTTCAACCAATTGCATCTGCATTTTGTTTGTCTGCCCAAGTCTTACGACCTTGTCGGATTTTGACATTCACTTACGTCATTTCATGATTTCAAGCTCTGTCAAAGAGGGGTAACTCTAGACCCCATTTTTGACCGCCCTTAAGACTTGAGCGCTTCACTTTGAACACTCAATGATGAAATATTATACTGTGTAATCATTCAAATCTTTAGTAAAAGATTTTAGTTTTGAGATTCAAACCCAAACCTTGCACTCCATTTAGACCAAAACCTGTTTTTCTAGCTTGACCACTCAAAAAGTGGTAAGACCAAAAAATGACCGGTATGCCATATCCTTTGGGCCGGCTGACCATCCTCTTGGCTAGTCGGCCATGTTTAGCGTACTAGATATTTTGCAGCAGCCAGCTATTTCTATGCACAAGATTTGGCTAGCTGCTCACTTTTGAAGACATTTACGTTGGAAGGTAAGGGAAAGTCTATAAAAAACAACATATTTCCTCCAAATTTAGGGTTAGAGAATTATTTGATAAGCCTAGAAGTTCCCTCAAAGCAACCATACACCCTCTTGAATATAGATACACCATTGGAGCTCAAACTTGAAGCTTTTTTGCTGAAGTTTTGAGCCTAATTTCAGATACTTGAGAGTGCTTAGATTGAAGCTTATGAATCAAAAAGTTCTCCATCTTTTCAAGAGATTGATCTTTGAACTCTTTTCATTATCTTTTCCTTTACCCTCTTGTTCTTCATTCTTCATTTTAATATTGATTTTCAGAGTATTTTAGGCTTTAAAGTGTGATTTAAACCTTGTTGAAGTGGAAGGGTTAGCCACCCTTCCATAGGCTTTTTCTCTAGTGTTACTCTCTTGTTGTTCTTTATGTTTTTGCTTCTCTTCTTTCATTTTCAGCACTATTTTAGTTAGATTTTGATTAAATATGAACTGTATATCTGTGTTTAAAACTTATATAGATAGTTTGATTCTTGTCTCATATCTCTATTCTTGGAAGATATTGCAAAGCTCTCTTCTAGTTTCTTCTTTGTAGCATGGAAATGGATATTTCATCCATATTCCACGAGTAGGAAGATGAGCTTTCACTCATTTCTCCATAGCTTTCATTTCTTACTTTTACTTAGTTTAGTTTTGTTTTTGCTTCAAAGCTATATGAGAGCTCTTTTATCAAGACCATTAGAGACTATTTTCTAGTTCATTTGAAGCATGGAAATAAAGGTTTCAATCCTTTTTCCATGAGTAGAAGAAGAGTCTCTTTGGTTTTCTTAATGATAAAACCTCTTGTGCATAAGCTTTGCCTGCAAGAATGGCTCCTTCTAAACCTCTTCTCTCTAAGCTTAAGTATTCACTTGTTCTTGTTTTCCATAAGATTCAGTGAGTTTTGGCCATATCTTTAATTGTATGTTTCATAATTAGTTTTATTTAGCTTTGAATCCATTAATTGCCATCTCGTTGCTTCACTAATCATCATTTAAATACCCTAGGGATGTCTGATGATTTTTGAAGCAAACCAACTCTCTCTTTAAGAATTTTTCATGATAGGAGAGAGAACGAAGGATGAACGTCTTTTGGAAACCCCCTGTTTTGCTCTATTTTAGTTCTGATTGTAGCAGATCTTCCCCCAAACTAGATAGCCGGTCGACTAGAGCTACGTACGGTCGACCAATTCTCAGGGCAGGTTGACCCCTTTATTTTGTATGACTGTGGTGTTTTTTTCAGTGAAACAGAGCAGATCCTAAGTCCCAAAACAGAGACATTTTCAGGCTGTGAATAGAGCAACTTTTGGTAATGAGTAGTGGAGGTTTCCTGAGGATGTTCTTGCTCGTGTGCATGTGATTCCCCACCTCTCATTAGATTAGTAGCTTTGATTTTTGTATTTTGTAATAATTAGTTAGTAATTAATTAATTAGTTTATTCATTTGGTGTTGTAATAATTAATTAATTAGGACGTTCAGACCCTCTTGTGCGAGGGCAAATTTGTAATATATGATGTATGTTTTCCAACTCCCATTTCTTTCTCCTTTTTATTTACATGCTTATTGTGGTTGTATATCATATCATGTTCGTTCCATATCATTACCATGCTTTGTATTCATTTTTGCATACATTAAATTCGGCTCATCATACATAATGCTCTTACCAATTCCTAAATGATTATGTGCGCTACCTCATGCTTTGAGTTGTTTCACATGTTATATTAATAGCCAAATTTAGTAGTTTCATTTTGTATGTGTTGCATTAGTCATGTACATTGTTAGGGTCATGCATTTTTCTAATTATTTTCTTTTCTTTGGCTTGCCTCGGAGTACTAGGTGAGCATTTTTTTCTTTAGCATATTACATTTGTGCCTGTGTTTCCATATCAAGTATACTACCATGAGGTTTCGTGCTTATTTGAATTACCTCTTTGAATGCCTGTGGATGAAGACTATTTCGCTTAGGTTGGAATGACTTTGATTATTGTACACATGAGCTACCTTTTCTTTTAAGTTGCACATATTCAAAACTCTTTCGAAAAATACATGAAATCAAAGCATTCTAAAGTAAATGATGCAGTCTATACTTGTTTACTTCACATAGAAATGTTAGTATATTAATAATCAGAACATGAGCATATAATGTCCATAAAATTCACATCATGACTTAGTAGAGGCCGATCTTTGATTTGGTGAGTCAAGTGCTCAATTCATGACCTTTCCCTCTCATATCTAAGTTCTCGAGCCGAGATACTTTGGTTATAACGGACATGTGGCCTTTGGCATGAGTCACGGGTTTCCTAAATTTTTTCAAAATATTTAGGTGACGACTCTGAAATCTGGCAATGCAGTCCATTTTTGACATCTTTGATGATTAATGGATTTTCTAGGATTTGTCAGATTTGGACTTTCATTCATTTTTTCTATTTCATATTGCAATTGTGGAACCAGATTCAGAACCACGGTAGTTCAAACTGTAGGGCTATCGTAGTCGAGGAAACTAAGCCCCTCCAAGGAGCGTGAAAAACTAGCTACAACCATGTATACCCATGCCGCGATAGATACTAGTGACACTTCAATGACACTTCAATGACACTTGCAAGTGCCAATACACCATGAAGGCTAAAAGCTTTTATTGACACTTCAAAGTCAAGTTAGACACTATTCATGACACTACCAAACACCATTAAACAAGACTTACAATCAAAAAAATGCCACTATATACATTTTTAATGGCACTTCTTATGCCACCACAATTGATATTATTTATGGACAATTGAGTGCCTTATTAGACATTATTTATGACACTTTTATACATACATTAGTGGCATTTCCAAGTGCCACTAGGTTTTTTACTAGTGACATTTAGAAATGTAAGCTTATCTTATTTGTTGGTACTCATATGCCACATTTAGTGGCGTTTATGGCTTCCATTAAAAATTTAAAAATAAACAAAAAAATTTAATTGCATCAAAAATTCCATTAATTATTCTCTTAAATAAGCTAAAAATTTATAATTTCATCCGTATAATACAAATATAACATTGATGACACTAACAAACTACAATAAAAACAATATCTAACTCAAAAATATTTCAAACCGAAAATATTCCAACTGCTTCAAATAATTCATCAAGATGCACTATCTTTTATCTTCAATGACGGTTAAAACACCAATCCCATTTGATTTTTTTTTTTAAAAAAAAACGAAAATGCTAAAAATGCTGATTTCCTCACAATGGCTTCGAGTTTTGCTACAATGCTCTCTGAAGAGCTCCATGATTCATCATACCTCCCAACATGTAAACATATCCACTGGTGTTTCTATTCTTGTAATCACAGTTTGTTGAATTCCTTTTCAAGAGCTTCAAACCTATCAAGTTCATTAAAATATTCGCAAGTAATGGAAGACCGGAGCAATTGACTTGTTTATGTTAAATAAAAATAAATAAATAATAATAATTGGAAATTGACTAAGTAAAGAGAAACAAATACCTTAAAAGCCTTTAATAATTTCAAAAGTGCACTATGGGCAATAGTTCCAAGATGGTCAATGAATTATTCTTTGATTATTCTAATACCCTTATTCTTGCAAAACCAGATAAATTCGTTTCAAATAGTTATTTTCATTATCCAAGAAGGTTTAAAACAAAAAATAAGATCACCATGCATTATAAATATGGTCCCCTTGTTTGATGTGAATTTCTTGTTCCCAAGCATCTACAAATAAAGATCACTTCCACTACAAAAAGCTAATTGATTGAGAGTATCTATAGAATTCACTTCCATTCCCCAAGAAGTAACGAAATAGAAAATAGAATCACCATACATATTAGTGAAGTGTAAAGAAAGGTTTTTGGCGCAAAAGAAAATTTTATTAATAAGTAATATAGGGGTTCCAACTTGGAAAGAAACTCTTAAAAAGCAAAATTATAAGAAACCATTACAAAACTTTCTTAATACCTCTAAATTACTAGATCTCAAAACCAATTACAATTTATACTCCCTTACCTGATCTATGCAAGTAATGAAGTTGTTAATTGAGTACTCCTTTATCTCCTTATAGGCCTACACCTGGTGCATTGTTCTCACTACGATAATGTCTATAACTTTCTTCCTTTCTGCAATTTGATTGTTAGAAATAGAGTTATTGTGCTGAATCAAAAGACTGATTAAAACTGCAAAGAATAATGACTCCCAGATTAATTTCTTCAATCCATTCATTTTAAATCAAAATCACCGTCTCATTAACCTTTTCAAATCAGTAGGATATACTAACAATAAACCTGCCATTTTAAACAAAAAAACTCCAAACCTTCATGAAATGGACATAAGCTATTTTTAGTAATCAACAAATCACTAGTAACAAACAACTTGAGCTTTAGGTGGAATGAAGGATTTCCAAACTAGTTTGTATACTCACTTTGAGAGACCATATGAAGCTTGATGACGATTACAAATGAAGCTACACAATATTGACCATTAAATTCCCAAGTCCATAACATTTTATCCTTTGCCTCAAATTTGGGACAAAAATAAAAAAGTAATGTCCTCGTCATCTTGTTCCCTTTCACAAATAAAAAGATCCCTTCAAAATTCTAATCTCCAAACCCAACCATCATAACCATGAAGATGCTTGCAAGAATGTAATAATTTAATTAGGAAAACAAAACCTGAATTTATAAATGACAAAAAATAAATCAAGGGATCTGGACATGTTGTTATTTTAAAAAAAATTCTAAATATAGAGGGAAGCTTGAAAGTAAAAACAAAGTGCCTAATGCATCATGAAACTTAGCTGTACAAGCAACACAAGCATATCATCACCTAACTAGTTCTTGAGGGAAAAAAAATTCAGTACCTGCTTGAACTATAGTTAGTTCCAACATTTAAACTTTTAACGCTAAAAGAAGCACCAAAACTGTGTTTCTCACCCTTATCTAAAAATATACTACATCAGCTAATTTATTCCATTTAAAAAAATTAAGAAGTCACAGTGCATGGGAAATGACATAAACTACATTCACACATATATGTCTCATATGTCTGCAACTCTTTTAGGCAATTTATCAAACACGTAAAGGCCAATTGAAACCCAAACTAAGCAAAAGGGTACATTTATCAACAAATGTATAAAAATTAAAAAAGAAAAATGAAATTAAGATTGTACGCATAAAGGAAAAAATTCTAATCAGATTCAAACATTTGATTTCTTTCTGAATTTCTCAATTTTAACCAAACTCTAAACAAAATTTAAAATAAAAAATTAGGGTTTGTAAATTTTAAGGTTCCTGTTAATGCAATAGCACTATTTTAATAGCAATTCAAATGTTGTTCCTTTGTAACTAGTTTAAAATAAAAGATCCATAATATTATGAAGATTCTAATATTTAACAATCATGGTGGAGTGTACAAATGAATTCCAATATACATCCATTTTAAATATATAGACAAGTGGTGTAATTTACGAATCATTATGACATTTAAACAAACACTTGCAAGGCATTATATAAAATTACAAGATAAACACAATAATAGTAAATCACAATTAACCCTTGATATTAAAAGATGAAAATTAATAAATTCATGGGTTAGAAGATTAGATTTTCAGATTGTATCAAGTTTTATACCTAAAACATGAACATCATAAATAAGAGACAAATATGGAGGTATTGTGTGTGTTTGCTTGTGTGTGTGAGAGTGAGAAAGAGAGAAAGAATACCTAATGAATTCAGTAGATTGTAGAAGATGAAAACATTGCAAATTTGTGGTGTAGATGGTAGATAAAGATGAAAAATGATAAGCCTTTGCTTCATTATTTTGCTCCCGCATCTTTGTCCCATCAAAATTAATTTTGCTTCACCAATTTCAGTGGATTGGGTCTCTACTCTAGCTTCTTTTACTCTAACTCGTGGATTGGGTCTCTAACCTCAGTATTTTGCTTTCTCCTATTTCCTTATTTCTTCTATTAAAAAAAATTAATACCAATTTTGTACCTTACATTTTTAAATTAGGTCAATTTTTACCTTTAATTTTAGATTATGTGTCAATTTGATCTAATTGATAATACCGTTAATATTTTTGACAAAAAATGATCACTGAATTGGTTGAGATTAACTCATCGAGTTAAGCAAATTTATACTTTAGCCTAAAAAAGAATGACATATGCCATTTATATGCATATTTTTTTTTATTAAAATTTATTAACAATTATAAGCAATGGGAATAAATTGTGATAAATCTGTAAATTCGGAGTTAAAATCAAGTCAATTGAAATTATAACGACTAAAATGATACAAAGACTAAATCATGTCCCCTGAAGTTTCCAATTTCATAATAAATGACCCATTTTATTAATAGATCATCAAGTAAATCAATAATTTTTGAGGATATCATAAATTTATTTCAATTAAAAATTCAAGTAATTTTATTATTGTATATGTACGGGGAGCAAATATTCCTGTAAGCCTGTACTCCTTTCTTCCAAGCTCCTACCTGTCCGATCGACCTGCGAGCACAACGGCGGTGAGCTACCCGGCGGTGTGTGGCCGGAATACCCCTTCGACGATCAAGTTAGACACACACAGGGATAGAGAGAGAGAGGAGTGTTTAGTGTTTTTCTCACCAAATTGTCATCTGTCTGCGTATGGGGGGTGCAGACATGCTTATGTACCTTCTGTGCCCCAAATCTACTCCCAATGATCTCTCAACACGTGGCACTGCTATCCCATCTGTCAGCATAAACCTTGCTGAGCACTACCTAACCCAACTGCCTGCCCATGCTCCTGGGAGCTCAGCAGTCGGGCAGTATCATCTCGGCTATCGTCTGCCATGCTGCGCTTCATGCCCAAGTACTCCAACAGCTAAGCTCAGATGAGGACCGGACTCGGCGGCATCTCGGCAAAGCCGAGCTCGGGACTACTCACACTTGTCTACGGTCGACCTACCTGCCGAGCAAACGGGGTACCTCGGTCCAACCTTGCCTTTCCTAGCGATGGACTTTTCACCTGACCGGCTTCGCAACCATGGATTCTTGCATTTCGGTCAATCAACGTGCTACCTTAACCGAGCAGCTTCCATCAAGGCCGGGCCACACAACTTGGCCCAACACCTGTTCGGCCCAAATCTGTCTAGCACAACACTGTCCGGCCCAAATCTGTCCGGCCCAAATCTGTCCAGCACAAATTCCATATCATTAATCTCCCTCTCAATATAGAAGAGCAGTTAGAAATTTTATTTTTTCAGTTAATTTATATAAGGCGATTGATCAATTTTGTACATGTGGTAAATAAAGTTAAAAAACATGTTATATTGAGTTTAGTTTATTTATTTATTTTTATTGTGCATTTTAAAAAAATTTGGAAATATATTGGCCTTTTTTGTTTTTTCAAAAAATGTCATTAGATAGTTTGGAAAGATTTTGGTTTAGTGGCATTTCATAAAATGCCATAAAAATTACTTGTTTATGACATTTTTCACTCAATGCCATAAAAAGTTACTCACACCTACCTAATTTATTGGCATCTATTCATAAATATTAAAACAATTTTTGTGTCATTCTTTTTTAAAATGCCATAAATTTGATGTTACTAAATCATATTATTGTTGTAGTGAAGTGACACTTGTTTATTGAAATGCCACTAGAGCCCTTTATGTTTGTGGCTTTGTGACATTTTTCTAAAGCATGTCACCAATTATTATTTTTGTGTCATTTTCTAAAAACATGCCACTAGTATAGTGTCACTAAAGTATGTTTTTGTTGTAGTGTATCCTACCTCCATTATCCTATAAAATTATTGAAAAATAACATAGTGTTAGAAAAAGTAGGAATAAGTGATTTATAATAAGGTTTATAGTTTTGTACCTTTGATGTCATATTCTTTAAATATGTTACTTGACATTGCAAGATAAACTCTGCTTATTTATCTTGAACAGTGAGATTAATTAAACTAGTATTATCTTTGACCACCATGTTAATATTGTATCTAATCAATAAAGAAAACACTTGTTAAAAGAAAATATTGTACCTAATCAAAAATTAAAACACTTGTTAAGTATAAATTATTATTGTACATAGAAATTATTTATTAAAAGCAAAATACCTTGTTATAATATCAATTTCATCATGTATTCAATGGCAACAAACAATGTGACTATACTGCTATTTAACTTTTTGATAGCAGTTTTTGTATAAATCAATCCAAAGGTTGTCAACACCAATTTGTTCAATGTACCCAAGTATTCGAAAATATGAAACCTACAAAATATTTGGAAAAACTTAAATTCATAGCTCTCTCAATATATATATATACAGATGTTAACTTTCATTACTTGAGAGGATAAAAATTCTAACATTTGGTATAGGTGCAAAATCACGTATTCTAATTTTTCTAGAATTTGATATTATCAATGATTGTGTAATTGAGAATTCATTTTTTCGATTGCAAGATACTAACTTTTGTGATGTAGGACTCATAATAAACGTAGATAAACATGTCAATATATATATATATATATATATGATTGTGAGAATTGTATTATTATATGTAATTAACTAATATTATATAATTATAACATACCATCGTCGAATATGATTTGTATAACAGAATGAATAATTAGTATACAACTTGTTGTATTTGCATGTAGCGAGACATGTACCTAGAAATTGAGAAAATAAACTATCAATATCAAGATATATATATATATATATATATGCATATGGATGTTATAAAAATCAATAAAAAGTAATCTTACTATGATAATATTTAATTGTTAATCCAATGACAAATAAAATATTATTATTCTCTCAAGTATGATATAATTGCATGCCATTAGTTATTGCAAATACATGACATAGTGTTAGTCTTACTAATATGAAATTATTTTTTAACTTAATAATAAAAAAAAGTTGAGATTAGAAAAAAGAATATAATTAGCAGAGGGTTTTTCAATTTTGGTGAAGACCAAAAATATGTTATGGTACCATACCTTATATCAAGTAGTAGAATCTCTCTCTTAAAATTATCATGGTTTGTAATATTTTGACATTCAGTAATGCTAACAACCAAGCCAATCACATCTGCATATTTCAACTTCAATGTAAAATTTCTTAACTTATCATTTATTTTAGGATTGATATGTTTATTATTTTGATAGTTTAATTATTTATTTTTTTTGGTTGCAACCTACGTAAGTATATTATATATATAGATAGATAAGTGTCATTTGGTAAAAGTAATTTTAATTTTTATCACCAATCATCAATATTCAGTTAGCAAAATTCCTTAGTTGTTGACGCGTTTCAATAGAAGTATCATGGGCCATAATACGCATATTGGTCCTCAAATGCAACACACGACAATTGTTCCAAATAGTTAATTTCTTCAATGACACCACAATTGTGGCTTCATGTCTATCTTTTGGAACTACAGGTAAAATTTGTCTAAAATCACCACTAAATATAAATAGTTTTCAACCAAATATACACAATCACTTGAACAAAATTCTGTACCCTGTAGTATATCTCTGAAAGTACGATCAATTGCCTTAAATCCATAACGATGGTGCATTGGAGCTTCATCCCATATGATCAATGATGCCTCTTGAATTAATTTTGTCAATTCAAATCTGTTGATTAACACTACAATTGAGAATTCATCCAAATAAATTGGGATTTTAAGCATGAATGCGCAATTCTACCTTTTGGTAATAACAAAGTTGCAATTGCAGATGATGCAACTGAAAGAAAAGTTTTCCTTTATGATCTAAACTTTACTATATCAATGTTTTCTACACATACATATTTTTCCTATTCCCTCACTTCCATATTGAAAAAAAAAAACCCCTTGTTTACAATTGTATGCATTTATTATGGTGTCAAAAACTTCCAATTGATCATTGTTTACACTAGAATGTAATTCATTGAACAAAAATATATTTTTCCGAAACACTATCGTACTCCATCTCTTCTCTAATGAGTGAATTAAGCACCTTGCAGAGATGTCAATGGCATGGGTGGAAAATCTTTGAGAGATCTTCCATTTCTATTTAATAAATGCTCAATTTTAAGAAATCGTAGATTTTTTAAGTCTTCATCGTCAAGACATAGATCACTATCTCTCATATCTTTTCTAATATATATATCATTGGTGAAGCTTTTCCAATGACGTTCCCATAATTCAACTGAATTGGTTATATTAGAAAATATGAGTATGGTACAATACATATTTCAAAGTTTTGTTGTTGACACACAATTTGATGTTTCAACCAATGCCTCGTGCTATTCATTATCATCATCGAGTAAACCAAATGCAATATATGTTGATTTAAATATTGTATGCTCGATCCTATTTACAGTTCTAATAGGCTTAAAATTTTCTACATCACAAACTTTATTCAATAACATTCCCAAATAATATCTCTCACCCGATGTTGGATGTACATATGGCAATCTACCAATATATTTATTAGATTTTTAGACATCTTATTTTCTTTTATATATATATATATATATATCTCTTTTTCACAAAAATTTTGTTAGAAATTCAACATAAGTCAACTCATTTTCAAATTAATGGGTTTTGTTTGCTTCAACCCATTTAGTCAACATTGTGCCATAAACATGTTGGTCAATAACTTTATGTAAATGATTATTGTCATTAAATATAACAAATTGTTAACTTGGAAGATGATATTATAAACACTTAATAGAAGGAGTTTGTTTATGAAGTTCAAAATCAAATATCCTTCAACATGCTTCAATCCCGGACATATATTGAGTGTGCAAATACTACTTGATCTCATTAACTTGTTTGTAGTCAATTAAATTTTCTATCAATTCATTTTTTACGCCTGTGCAAACATCTTCTACAATACGTTTTATATATTTTTTAAAAATTTGTTAAAGTGAAAAACTTTTGAGAATACATATTAATAAAAATTAACATAAATACACTAA